TTTACATAACGATTATTATTTCCCAAGTTTTAAACGTACATTAAAAGTATTTTAATTGAAAAGTCATTACGAAATCGAAGACTGCGTGTTAGACAAAGATGTATGGAAAGACGACTTGAATTCCATACAAATATGATTCATAGTGTATATAGTTCAATAGAATTTAAGTTTGTTTCAAAAAGAATATTCCCTACTGTTTCTTGCTCGTTCTTTTCAGGGAAGTCAGCGCAGTGAACGAGCAGTAGCTTAAAAATAGATTTTCAAGTGTAAAAATTTTACCTATGGAATAAATGATTATTTGACTTTGATACCAACCCTAAAAATTTACCCGTCACGTCTTCCGCCTTTCCACGAGACATCATCAGGAGTTGTTGATTGTTCGATACTCGGTCGTACAAAATATATTATTCATCTGAAGTTTGTAAAAATAACCCTTTTAACTATGACTCAATTAATAACTTGCACTGCGTAATCTATCACATGTATAACAAGGGAGATTACCAACGTGATATTATACACACTAGCAATTAAGCATGTCTAGAGTTTTTAATCCTTGTTGGTCTCAATTATTATAATTACATATGTTCTTATCCACCTATTTATCTAAATATGCCATTTCTAAAGGTGATAATGACTGTTTCTTATCGTAGCTGTGTACAGTCAACAGCACATCAAGCTACACATTGACGTATCTTATTCCGTTGAATTGGAGGCAATTTTCGAACAAAAATGTGTAGTTCGATTGCCAGACATTGAAAAGGTAACTATACTCATAGACATTTGGAGAACCTTCAGGGCGCGTTTATTCGACACGAATTTCATTGCCGCGATGACCGCGTGCATATAACTATCATCGCAAAATAAGCTCTACTTATTTCGTTTTTACGTTTTAATTTAAATGAGCATCTCGGGGGCGCTGGCGAGGCTGGCTTGTCTTTAGTACACGCGGTTGTATTATTCCAAGGAACTTACATGTTGTTGCCTAGTAAATAGAATTTTTACCACTTTAGATTCACCATTGATGTACGTGAAAGCGTGATAACTGGGCGGTCGCCACGTGGCGGCGCAAATACTATCGCGTCGTGTAACTGGGCGCTTAAAAAGGTTGAATACCAGAACCTTATTTGAAAAAAGAATGACTTCAATCGTCTTCTGATTTCGATTAAACGTTATGTGCCTCTACCATGAGATTACAGGGACAGTTATCGCTAACGCCCGCTTAAAATGTTCGTACCTATACAAAATGTTGTCTTCTTGTGACCGATAAGGGCGCTGTACAATTGCCATATAAATTTGTGAAGCACTGGTATATGTGTATGTGGCCAGTGGTTTATACGAACGTCGTTGTTAAGATAATTGAAACTGTTTATGTTTTTTCGGATTTAAATCGCGTATATTTATTTTTTCGAACAAACCAATGATTTTTATAGGTCCCCTAGTCACGGCTGACTGTTAGCCGCCAACAAATTGACTACAGTAACTTTTAATTCATTTTGCGCATTTGCGTACTGCGATTTGTATTCGTTCCAAATCCGAGACTATACAAATCTAGAAATCGGATCCACTTCGGATGTCGCTTGTGCACTAAGTCCTATTCGAATCCGAAAAAATACGCATTTCGCGTGTACACTTACAGACAAAATGATCCATGTGGCATTTTGGACCGTCATTTCTCGGATTCGAAACCGATACGAAACGGACGTAGTGCACAAACACTCTAATTGTGACCGTAAAAGTGGCGCGTGCCTGTCACGACTGTGGCATTGCAATACTATCGTGTGAAACCAAAACACTGCAAGTCCTTGTAATTTCATTACCACAAGAATCTATCGGCTGTTATCAAAGCAAAACAAATTAACTAGTTTTTTGATACAAATAATACATAGATATCGTTGAGAAATAGCTTGTTTTGCTAAGTATAATTGCAATGGCTGGATGGATATATTTAATGTGTTACGTACAAAGTAGATTGAGTAACCCGAAAAATTAAAAAATCTTTCTAAAATGCTGTTGTTGATATTACAGTGTAGCGGTTTGACAGTGTAGAACTACATGAATAAAGAAACGGGTGGAACTGCGCTTCTAAATATAGTATGACAAATAACCGCGCCATAGTTGCACCACTGTGCCATAGTTGCGCTTCTGTATGCGTCTAATTTGAAGGCACGATAAAGCTCAAAATGTGGTCTTGTATGAAAAAACGAAAATTCGCAATTCATTTCCATATATTTTCAAAAAAGAGCTGTAAAATGAAACATTCCACCTATTCACATATCAATTTTATTAAAATCTTTTTGTTTCATACGAAGCTTGTATATTCATCTAGTTACATCGATCTAACTTGCAATACATTCAATAACTTAGGTAACTTTTATACACGTAAATTATATTTTTAATATATAAGTACTGCCTACCTAATTGGTAGGTACATATTTTATCGATTCCTTCTTCGATACGTCTACAAACACATTTAGGGTTGCCTGTTACGATAGTAACGGTTATATAAATTAAAACTATTAAAGGCAACATTTTGTTTCGCCTTTTATAAAATTACGTCTCCTTTAAAAGGCTTGTTTATATTTCATGCTTGAAAAAAAGGAGCTACTCTAGCCTAAGTATGATTTTAAAATTAAAATAAATTAACATTAGATAGTATAGGCTGGCAACCCCGTTGTGTAAATCTTACTGACAGCATAGTGTTGGGAAACTGTCTTTTTAATATTTTACCATTTTTAAGTCAAGCCTTACCAAGTATCAATCCAATAAATGATTTTTAATTTCGCTGATTACGACGCAAATAATTGCAATCAATTTATTTAAATATACATCAACGTAAAGGCGAATTGCGAAAGTTGGTGTCGACAATACATGTGACAGAATGTAGTAGAAAAGTATCTGCACACTACTCCATCGATAAAAACGTTTATCACATTATGTACCGATAGTGTCATTGAGCAACACTTTTAATTTCGCCTGTAACAATTCCCCTGATTGCGTGAAAAAATGGACACCTATTATAAGTTTGGTTTGTTCACATTACTGCCATTCTCTAGCTAAAAAGCGGCTAAGTGACAAAATATTTTTTTGAGATATTATAAAAAAAACCATAATCCTGTTATCAGAAAGTTGAAATTATTTAATGATATTTCAGTTATGCATCGTTAGAGTAAGTTCCGACAAGTCGAACACGTTACCTAATACTAACTGATTTTAAAAGAGAATTTTGTGCTCAATTTTATACTTTTTGTTCAATTAATAAATTAACATTAAATAAACATAGGAAATGAAACTATTTTTACGGATTTAAATCGCGTATTTAATCGTTGAGTCAACCGTGACCATGGGACCTGTAAAGGGCCCGAAACGTCGGTTTGTTTGAAAAAACAAATATACGCGATTTAAATCCGGAAAAATAGTTTCATTTCCTACGTGTAACAATCGCGAAAACCTAAGAGCACGATATTAAAAAAACATTCAAAATTTTTTATTTGGTTATATTAATAGGCAACATTTGTAAAATATATGTAAGATGTCGTGTTGAATATGTGTTACGCTTTATGGCAACACTTCTACTATAAAATCTGTTCCATACGATTGCGCTTAGCTGTATTTCAAATATACAAAAATTTAAATTTCTGGCCGGCGTTATATTGAATACTATTTAAAAGGGTTCTTTGACCATTTGTCACTAAGCCGCTTTTAGTTAGTGAACGGCAGATGAAACGTCCTTCCGATGGTGATCGTTCCGTCATTTGTTTTTCGCGCCATGTCCAAGATAGGGCACGTACTTTTTGAAAACTGTTTTAGCTCATTTAAAAATTAAATAATTTTGAAGCGCCATCTATTGGCACTTAATCTATCTACATTCTTGCCGACTTGTTGCAATATATTGTTAAAATAATGTCGTTCAAAACGTAACATCAACTTCCGATAATTCACCCGTACCTTGATAAGTAGCTTATTATAAGTGGATTTTTAAAATAGCTGTGTCTTTGACAAAAATATTTAACTCGTGATAAAATCTTTTAGTATAATTTATAATTTAGTTATAATGATGTGTAAATACTTCTTTTATCAATTAATAAATATAATGTCATTAAATAAAACTATAATTTTATTCAATTATTGCTTGTGATATGCGAAGAGTCCCATATTGATTTTTTTATATCTCTGAATTGAACTAATATGTTATACATAGGTTTAAATATTTTACCATTTTATTGTCTTCATTTCATGGTAAAGAAACCAATATCTTGCTAAAAATAACAATTACTTAAGTATATCAATTTATTATTATATCTCTTCAATGGTATGTAAAAACAAAACTAATTTTTAATTTAACTCGATGGATAAATTTATTTGTTAACCCGAAAGGAAGCCCAGTCAATTTTAAATCATTGGTGCATTTAGTATTTTTTTACCGTTATTTTCAAATCTGTTAAAAACTTAAATAACCAAACATAGCAGTAGTCGGTATTACCGTAAACTAGTGCATAAGTTGGCCAAAGCATTATTTTAAATAGTGAAGACAAAATTAAGTGATAAAAATGACGAATAGAAAAATTGCATTTATTAAAAATTACTTAACTTATTAGTTAAAAGCTTTCGCTTGTATTTACGTAATATAATCTCAGTGCAGACTACTAAAAAAACCGACCTCAAAAGTACGTGGAATTACATGTATTTGTCAAATTTTATTGAAATCGGTTACCGGAAAGTGTGCAAACCCGGATTCATCCCCTAGTTCGCCACTATACGGAACTTGACACAGGAGATAATAAAAATCGGTTCTCACTACTCAAAGTATATTGAGAGAGAAAAACGCCTTGAATTGGAGAATAGCAAAACCAACCATTAAAATAATTGCTCCTTATAATAAAATTTAGGCGCTATTTATAAAAATTAATCTTCATGCGTGAACAGCCACCACAGGTGGATGATTTTCTTCAAAAGTAAATGGGACCACTATGGAGGTACCCTCTATCCAACAAAAAAAGAATCATCAAAATCGGTTCACAAATACTGGAGTTATCGCGTAACATACATACAAAAAAAACATACAGTCGAATTGAGAACGTACTCCTTTTTTTGAAGTCGGTTAAAAGTAACAAGTAAAATTTTACAGCATTTGTAATGCACCGGCTCAAAATAATAAGTTTAGCAATTTTTCATTTTAAAATGTACCCTTATCGAGGCTTTAGGGTGACTGGTTAGAAGAAACATTTATTTTAATATTCTAAATCATTCACTACAGACATTCAAATATTAAGAGATGTTTGTCAAGGATAGGTGCTGTTTTATAACGTTTTCCACCCTTTAATCAGTCACCTTGTATAAATTTGGTAAAATTCCTTCGCTTTATTTAATAAAATTACCTTAGTTTAAGATCCTCGCTAGGCTATAAAATATTTTTTCGATTCCACGTAACATTAATGAACTCTGTTAGCATTTGGCTCATTTGTTTTTTTCAGTCAACCTTCGCCCATTGGAAGACTAACGAAAATTTTTTTGACATTTCCACCACATGCATAGTTTTCTAAATCTACACAAGTCCACACAACGTGTATACGTACAGGATGCCAGGTATTTTAAAAACGATTACTTTTTATTTAGAAAAAAATTCCACACAACCGATTTTGTTAATGACTATTTTCATTTAATGGTAGTTGTGTTATACGAGGAACGATTTCACAATTCATAGAGAAGAGTCTCTTTAGTAAAATAGTTTATTATGCTACTACTAGATGGCGCTAATTTAATTTCCTTTGTGAAATCGGCCCTTGATGTTTTCGTCTCTATATTATATCTAATTTGGGTTAGAAGAATCTTCTCTTAAAATTTATATTATGTACTGGTATTAAACCTCTATAGTTATTATCTATTACAATAATTTACTGAACTGTTGACAATATTTTCTTTCAAATGATTTCAATCTACATACAGAGAAGGATTAAAAAATGGATGCAGTGAACCCTGCTTGCCGTAAGTCTCTAGAAAGGCAAATTAAAGATTAGGCGTTAAAAATTTAGTGATTATAATGGAGTTTTTACAGATGAGCTTTGGAACAATCCTTAAGTAAGTAGTAAGTAGCTGTTTACTTTTGTGCACTGCTGTAAAAAACTCGCACTAAATACATTAAGTACGTATACACTGCCACCAAGCGCATTCTATAAATAACGGTTAAAAACTGCGTTAACGCGTTACAACACTAACGTTAACACTTAGAACAGTTTTGCCGGCGCTATATAAGAGTTTCTTTCCCTCCGAACTTGTATATCTCCTCATGAGCACAATTATTTTGGACACTAGTGTTTTGTGTGGGGGGAGGATCGCGCGGGGGACGCTCTCTCTTCTTCGGCTGTTGCTCTGCATACTAGTTTTTCGAAGTCAGTATTGTTACAAACTCTGAAACCAAAAAGAAAAGTAGTCAGATTAATAAATGTTATTGCAAATGCAGTTGTACATTTAGATATAATTGAAGAATTGGGACCAACAAGGGCATTCGGCACCCAACGCCCGTTTTGATGTTATTGCATCAAAATATCGCACTGTTAATACAATAGTGTATTAACTCAAAAAGTGGACTTTCTTAGAATCGTTGAAAAACGAATTGCTCACTTCCCGCGAAATATCATTAAAATTAATGTATGTTATAGTTTATTATAGACACTTAACCAATTTCTCAAATGTATTTAAAAATAAAATGGAACAAATAATTTAGTATTTTTGTATAAGGATTATTTTGGCCAGAACTAGCTCACATAAAGTGTGTCTCATTTTGAGTTAATTGGATATCTTTTGATTATTTCTTACAATATTCTAACGACTGTTTTTTTATGTAAAGATAATCAAATTTGACGTTCAGTAACGATAAAGTATTAAATTTCACAATTTTTTTGAGTTACACCACAATTGTAACAGCAGTGCAATATGTAAAGCACTATTTATAATCTTGTGACAAAAACTAATTTCGATGGCGTAAGATTCATTCATTTAGAAGTGGCCTATACCCAGCAATAGGTGTAAACGGGTAAGATGAGCTCCGCCCTTATTGCATAGATTAATGTACGTTTGAATTTCGGACACGACCCTCAGTTTGTAAAAACCTTTTAAGAGTTATTTCATCCTCAACCTGGAGTATTTAGGAGGCCAGGAGACCTGCTGAGATTATTCTGACTGATTCATTTCAATCCAGCGTATTTAATGAATAATTAAAAATAGGTGCGTTTAAAATATTTTCAATGTAACTTTTAAATAAGACTGATTCACATAAGAATCTAAAGTTATTATTTATTTCCATAAAAACCAATAATAAAACAAATGACCCATTAATTGGTTTGGTGCAACAAGAGCGGATAACACAAGGAATTTTTTTTTGTTTTCAAATGTTTCTAATTGTTTTATAATAATAATAACACATGAACCTTTTAACTAAATCATAGGACAAATAAATAATAAGAGTCTTACGCTTTATTTTAAATTTTCTTGAATCTCATTTTTACGTGTTACATCCAATGCTCCAATTGTAAATTTTTGTTTTCGTCCAGGGAAGTACTGCGACCATATTTCTATTTCTACCGCCAAGAAGTAATGTGAGTATGACTGCGTTCCGGTTTTAAAGATTTGGCGAAATTATAAGTACCTATATGGAACTTGTCAACTTATGTATCACACATCTTTGCGATCTAAATAATTTAAATAAAAAGTTGTATTGGAACGACGGGGCTGATCGCAATGTACGATCGATACGGTATCCTACTTTACAGATATCACCAACTCCTAGACTAACGGTTTATCGCGGTAGTTTCAAATTTGCTGCATCTAAGTGTTGGAATGATTTGCCTCCTCCAATAAGGAATTTGAAGTCTTCTTACACTTTCAAAAGGAAATGCAGGCTTTGGTTACTTTCAAAGCAAAGTTCTGCTAGTAATTGGATGTAGTGTCGTCCAGCGGATTTATGCATATTTTTATTTTTGTTCTTTATTTATTTATCTATTTATATATATATTATAATTTTTCACTATTTATTGTTATTATGTGTGCAGTTCATCCTTATCTATACTTTATCTATACTTCATGTATTTTGAAATGAAATATTTTATGTGGGTTTGGTACCATTATGACAATGTAATCATAGCTTTAAGTTTAAATTGTATACTTTAGTCATTTTACTGGAGCTTGTCGAGACACGTCAGAATTATTATATTATTAATATTACAGAATTAAATGTAGCGTTTCACCAAAAAGGTAAAGTCTGAAAAACAGCTCAAGCTGAGACTTTTGCCTTTTTATCTACATGTGTAACTTCAGATTATGTTATTTAAGGCTAAATTATTATTTAATGTAGATAAATAAAGCTCTTATTATTATTATTATTATTATTATTATTATTATTAAAGCTCTGAGCGACAATGCAACTGTTATGGCCAGGCGTGTTGTTTACCACCCGGCGCACAACTTGTTCGTTCCATCACATGGTACTATAAAAAGAAAAATGCTAAATTGAAACGGCTGAACAAGGCATTCATATTTTTACACTGGCGTCACAGTCATTTATGAATTGTTATGTATGTTAAGAAGAATAGTATTTTTTTAGGAAGTGATAGACAATAACGTTAATACGAGAAATAAAAATACACTAGCTGTTTTAGCCTCGTCTTCTTAGGGTAAATAAAATTATATATGGGTGCTTTATTTGTGGTGAAGTTTCGCTTACTCCGCTCATCGCTGTATGCTTAGTTCATAAATTTTTCATTGAAAAATAAACTGACTTCAAAAGTTTGCTTAACGGTACAACATTTTGTATTTTCTTTTCTGTTTGTCATGGTGGCGGTGATTTGTTGATTACATGTATTGTGTCAAGTGAAAAGTCGACTGTTATTTGTGGAAAATAATTAGTAGTTTGTAATAGCCGAAACGAACCCGGAACAGCGTCAGGCACCACCTCGAGTATATACCCTTTCAAACAAAAAAATAATTTTCAAAATCGGTGCACAAATAATGGAGAAATTGGTGAATACACGGACATGCCTACAAAATTTGAGGATTTCCTTCGATTTTCATGGGATTTCCTCATCAGATTCTGACTTGGCGACAATGGGACCACCACGAGAATGCACCCTTTTAAACAAAAAAATAATTTTCAAAATCAGTCCACAATTGACGGAGATATCTGAAAACATACATAAACATACTATACATACAGCCGAACGTATACCTCCTCCATTTTTTTTCAAGTCGGTTAATTACTTAGTAGTAAGTACTGCGTTATTGTTTAAAGGCACTGAAAATTGTCGGTAGACGACGATTTTATTTATTAATAATAATAATAATAATCATTTATTTAAGATCATTGATCCACTTCGTTAGTAACAATCAAAAACTTAGGACTATGTTAGTAAATTATACTTAATAAAATAATTAAAATAGAAACGCTTAAAAATAAATAATAGAAATTAACAATAGGTATGCATAATTAGAATTCATGTCACCAGCCCTTCTTGGTGACATGAATTCTGGTCCAATGGCACAATATCGGACACGCTACATCCTCCGATATGGTGTTCAGAAGGCTGTTACCGCTGCCACGCATCCTGCTCATGGTCGACGAAATGCGTTTCCGTACAACTGCGTCAAAACCGTCTGTACGCGCCTTTGCAAACATGCCGGACGCACTACAGAACGGGGGCAGCCGCAACAGCATTCTGAAGGTGTTATTATACTGGACCTTCAGGGCATTGAAGGATTTCTGCGTATAATTAACCCACAGGCCGCAGGTGTACAATGTCTGGCAGTAGGCCTTAAAAAGAGTTAATTTGACCTCATTCATACACCGTGCAAACCTGCGATCCAACATATTGCACCTTACCGTCAATGCCCTGCGCTCCCTATCCAGCTCTAAGTTATCTGTGAGCGCATCAGTCACCCAGTGACCCAGGTATTTAAACTGCTTCACTTGCTTGAGAGGAGCACCATCTAGTGTAATAGGTGGAACAGTGTTATACGTTTTCATGCCCGCCTTGAAACTAGCAGCTCACTTTTCTTAACATTATACCTGAGTCCAAGGGCCACCGCATTTTGTCCGCATTGCTCACAGATTTTCAACAACCTCCTCAAGGCACCGACTGAGGGGACTATTACATCAAAGAATTCGTTATTAAGTTTCGTTAGAAATCCATTAGAAATGGTTGTGATCCTCATAATAATTGTAGCTGTAAAAAACTCACCATCGTAGTTGACCATGCCATCACCATCAAGGTCAGCCTCACGGATCATATCGTCGACCTCTTCCTCGCTGAGCCTCTCTCCAAGGTTAGTCATCACATGGCGCAGCTCCACCGATGATATCAGCCCATCATTGTTCTTGTCGAATACCCTGGAATACAGATATAATGCGCTTTAAATTTCGCTGATAGGATTGAATATGAAGATACCTGACGGTAATGCTGGTAGACTTTTATGGTCAACGTTCCCTGTAAATTGCTGAGCCAAGGAAATAGTGCTATATCATGAACTAATAACAATTATACTAACTTCTATGATCAGTTTTAGTTTAGTTTGTGGCCCAAAATTAAGCCACATTCTTATTACTGTTGCTTAAGTTTTAAGCGACTCAGAATGATATTCCTTTCTTTGTTTCAAGATTAGTCGGTATATAAGTATGTTGACGTTATACCTGAAAGCCTCTCTAAGCTCGTCTTCTCCATCAGCCCCGCGCATCTTCTTGGACATCATTTGGAGAAACTCATTGAACTCGATGGTGCCATTGCCGTCTTGATCCACTTCTTTCACCATATCTCGGAGCTCCGTCTCTGTAATAACCCAATATTATATTAATTAAGTACTTGTATTTTATATTTCCAATACAACGACTTCAATGAGTCTTTTCGTATACCGTCCATTCCTCGCAAAAAAGTATTTCGACGACCTCAGTGGCCAAACGGTTCACATTGTGGGCGCTGGACGCAATTCCCGACAGAACCAATTTGTGAAATTATCTTTTCCAAATTGGTTCTGGTTTAGGCGTTCTGGAAAATGCCCCACGGTAAATTCCGTTGCTCTGGTAGTCATAGTATAGGGAATCCCCTAGTTAGAGACCAAGCAATATAATTATCATTAATCAACATTATTACGTGTAATGTGTGCAACTTTCGTACTGCTGTAGGCTTTCCTCGCAGGGTACGTGAGAGTTGTTACTATACGTGGGGCCCACTATAAGTTTCCAGAATGAATAAGAAAAAAATACTATAAGTGGCCAGAAATGAATTTCTTATTTCTCAAAATATTCTCCGTTAGCGTTAATGCACGTTTCATACGAATGAACCAATTTAGAAAAATCTCTGAAACATATTTTTTATTCTCTTCGACAGCCTCTTCAGGTGATGAAAATCGTTGACCGCGTAACTGGTTCTTAATTTTTGGAAATAAATAAAAGTCAAAAGGTGCCAGGTCGGGACTGTACGCAGGATGGTTCATAAGATCAACGTTGTTCACCTTGAAAAATTCATTTGTGCGTCTGGCCTTGTGAGAGCTGGCATTATCGTGGTGCAAGATGATAAGGCGTTTACGGTTATTTTTACGGAGTTTGTCAATAACTTCACCAAATGGTAACAAATGGTCGTGTACCAATCACTATTCACGGTACAACGATTCTCCAAAGCAGCAGTAGCCACGTGTCCAGTTTTATTAAAAAAAGAAGCAATCATCCGCTTAGAGTCACGCGCGCCACTTTGGTTGGTTTCGGCTCATCTCGAAAGACCCATACGCTCGATTGCTACTTTGTTTTGGGATCGTAACTATAAATCCCTGTTTCGTCACCTGTTACTATGTCCCACGCCAAATTTGATGCCCCTTCGTTGAATCTGGTAAGCATGGCATTGTACATTTTTTGAGCCTCAGTCAAATTGTGTGGGACCGAGAGCACAGCTTTTTCACACCCTCATGTTTGTATAGTATTGATTGTATTTGACTCATGCCTAAAGATGCCCGAATCGCATGGTATGTCACATGCCTGTCTGTTTTGATCATACGGCGCACAGAATCGATGTTTTTGTTGTTCACAGCAGTGGACGGGTGACCATCACGAAATTCGTCATTGAGATTCACACGACTGCGTTTGAATTCTGCAAACCAGCTATAAATAGTCGTCTTGCATGGTGCATTATCGCCAAAAGCAGTTTGAAGCCGAGGGAAGCTCCGCTGAGCTGTTAAATTACACTTAAAGCCGTAGAAAATCATACTACGAAAATTTTCACGAGTTAAATCCATGGTGATGTAGACAACCAATTTCTAAAATGACCCCACAATCTAAAAACAAGTGACAGTCAGATGAAACAAACTGTATTCTGCAGCCAAAGAGCTCTATTTTCAAACGTTGTAATTACTTTTGAAATATTGTTTATGTAAGTGGCCAGTTCCGAAAACTTATAGTGCGCCCTATGTAATATATGTGGTCTAAAGCACACTTGCACTAAGTGCATAATTTCTATATTTTTTGTTTCTATATTTTTGCACAATCACCTTAAATGATTTTAGTACTAGAATGTTACGAGCACAAACATAATAAACAAATAAATAAATAAATAATAAATAACGCACACACTCAACATAGCCCCGCACTAGGGAAACCTGTGTCGCGGGTGCCATGGACACAGACATAGACAACCACGAATTACACCCAAACTCACGAGAGATATAAATGTAGGCCATATAAATATTTCTCCCGACCCGGGCATCGAACCTGGGACCTCTGCATGGCAGTCCGGCATGGTAACCGTTCGGCCACGAAGGCAGTTCATAATTGCGTACTATTGGATAATTTTAACTACCTAAAGTATTAAGCGCTACACAATATGTCTACTCAAATGTGCCAAGTGCATGGCTTTCGTTTTAATTCATCGATAAGCAAGCTTGGTGTCAGAGCCATTAAGTTATAAAGTAAATTAATACCTAATAGTTACACTATTTTATAAATGCTATAAATCAGTCATACATAGCAAGTTGTTTCTGGAATTCGAAGTCAAACTTTCAAATTGCTCTACTGTAAAATTTCCAAAACTGTAGTTAGTACAAGTGTATGCTAGGCCATCGATATCGTATGACTAAACCTATATATCTCGAGGTTAATGACAGAATAGTAAGATGGTTGGATCGTGATTGCTTGGCTTAAACTCCGTGAAATGGAAATTCCTTATGCTAGGATTGAGGTCAGGTACGTAAAATTAACCAACAAAATCCAATGGTGGTAATTGGGGGCAATTGCCTAAGGCAATTATGTGAGGTGCGAAAGCTAAGGTCCCAAATGTCGCTGGAGCTAACATGAACTATACAAAACTATATAAAATGTAATTTTGAACAATAAGGATTATAATTTATCCGAAAATACGGAGCGGACTAATGGACCATTATAAAAAGAGCTCTTTATTTTTATTATCTTTCTTCGTGACAATAACGTCTAAACTTTTGCCATTGTTTGTAACAAAATGCTTTATTTCGATGACTTACAATGCCTAGCATAATATTTGTTAAGTACGTTTGGTTTTTATTATCTGTTTTAGGCCTTATTACCTACTTTTCAATAATACCAATCTACTATATAAATTAAATAATAGTGGTAAATGAGATACATTCAGCGTCTATATATATATTAGGTTTGTCATCATGAAACTTAAGAGTTATACTCTTGTCGTTGGAGCATCTTCCAGTCACCTCTCTTATAAGCCAGATCCTTGACCTCCTTATACGATACGATATCGGCCTTTTTCTTTATTTGGTCTATGTAATTGCGCCTAGGTCGACCTCTTCCCCTCTTCCCCTAGATTTGTAATGTTGAAAAATAAACAAATATCGTATCTTTGCAAAAATAGGTAATAAAAAATACAAACAGATAATAAAAACGAAACGAACTCATCAAATATTAAAATTAAAAAAAGAGTCTCCAATCTTCGGTCGAAACGTTTCGAAAAGGTTAGGGATGGCTCATTTTACCGGTCGAGGACAGTAGGCATTGGTAAAAATTCATGAAATCACATTCATCGCTGAACGCAAATTGAAACGTCTCACGTTACTGCTACTCATTTTGTATTCAGCCAAATATTTTTTCGCTCTTTTTTCTGATGAATAATTCAGTATTGCGTAAGGACGAGCAGAGTGGACGGAATGCTAGTTTTTCAGAACGAAAATGGCGCATTATAACCTACTTTCCCTGAAGCTATGATATCTTTAAACCTTTACATTTGCGGTATATCAAAGTCCTGTTTTCACACAAAAGTGTTTGAGTTCTACTATTCAAGTAACAATAACGCGGTATGATAGTTTTAATTTTAATTGTAATTTTTGTTTTCGTCTAAAATCGTTAATGACAATCTTAAATAGCAAAAAATAGACAAATTCAAACATATGTATATCAACGTATTTACTATATGTAAATCAAACACTATGATTGATCAGACACTACATAATTTGCGAAAAAAAAACTTTTCATTCTATCTTCAAGCAAATTTTTTTGAATATTTCATTTAAAACTAAATTATTCATTTCCTTTGGGTATTACACTTGTATCAAAAGTGAAAAAAGGTTTACAATAATAAAATGTATCGATACTTTACTGCTTTATACGAAAACTATTACATCACTAAACCAAGTGTTATCATCAAGTGTACCTTAATTTCGTCGTGCTGATAATCGGCGCCGTGGCTTAGTTGGTTAAAGCGCCTGTCTAGTAAACAGGAGATCGTGAGTTCGAATCTCGCCGGGGCCTACTGAATCTTTTGTTATATTGTTGATGAATATTTTTTACGTTCAGACGTTTTTTTATTTCTTTTTTAACTGAGGACAGTAATATCGTGTATTTTATGAAAATGGACCTAACTATATTTTCAATAAATAGGAATGTACTAGTGTAGAATTGGCAATGTTTCCAAAGTAATTTACACGCTACTTGAGAAATATCTAGAAATACCGACTGAAATGATTTAAATGATTTTAATGTTTGCTCTACTAATAACGGATTTATTTTAGAATGCACGTCTATTTACTGTAAGTGGGTAATTATTAAGGTTAGTACATAATATCTTGCTTACTATTAAGTATCTAATCTAGCTATAAAATTTTGATAGTATGTCGAATATAGTATCTCGGATTTTTAACTAAAAATTACCAACTTAATTTATAAAGCCAGGTATTCATTACTTCTCATTCTTACGAACGCGGCGGCGGATTCGGGCGCTCGGGTCTTGGGTTCTTCCCTTTCACAGTGCCGCAGCAGTTAAGAGCGGGTAGATCCACACGTCGGAATCGCAAACAGACGCTAGACGCTAGACCAAGCACTATGAAAGGTACGGGCGAACCGAGCCAAAAGATAGGTCTACAATCTACACGCGCACTCGCGTCCGCGCCCGCCTCAACACAGGCGCCGCCGGCGCGAGCGGCCACTGTGAACACAACGAGCGTTCACATATCGACTCATCCGAAGAACAGAGTCCGATGTGATTATATAGTGAAAATAGAATAGGTACGTTACGAGAACAATTTCGTTATTCAAATTAAGGCCTATGTAAAGATGTTTTGAGAATTTGTATACCTTATTTCGTTTCGGATATACAAAATCGAACAACGGTCGATCTGACATCCACAGCGAAGAAGAACGAACGAAATGTACTATGTCCTGAGAACAAGTAGTCTTACACATAGATCTTTGTCTACGGATGAGTCGATATATTTGATTTACACGCACCAGCGCCCACCGCCACTCCTAGTAAGACGTAAATGCCATTTTCCACTAAGCGACTTGCCGCGATTCTCTTTTATTTCA